ATTTGGGAAATTATAGACTACCAACATTATCAATTATTCCTAAAATATTTGGATATAACTTTGACTTGGACCAAGGATATAAAACCAGTGACAGAACATCACAGGCCGCAAGGCCGTCTACTGCATCCCAAGCACAGACCCTGGGGTAGGCGGAGACCTCACAATCTTAGTCTAGACAACTGAATATGATAGAAAAGTGGATTAGCACCTTTAGTTTTTATTCTCTTTCTCTCATTAACTAGTGTGTGACATGGAACAAATCAGTCTTTTGAGGGCTTAGTTTTTCTATAGCAAAATGATGGTTCTGGAGTGGCTATCTCTAGAGTCCTTACCAGCTTTTTAATTTCCATGGATCCACAATTAAAGAGTCAAGTCTACAACTCTGATCCACAGACTGTGAGCACAGTGCTGCCATCATGTGGTAGATACAGTGATAGTTCTGCATTTTTAGGTATAGTTGAGGCGGGGAAAACCAACAGAGCAAACTAATTGAAGACAGATGTGCAGTCAAAAAAAAACACTACCAGGTTTAATTAGGTTTAGCCACAGTGGGATAATAAAACAAAATGGTGTCTAACCATCTAGCATCTGAAGAAAACGAAGAGGTCAAAAAAAATAATTTAAAACAGATTGAATTGCCTCACAGAAGATAAAATGTGTTTACGTGAAATGCCCCCTCAATACCTGAGTCACAGAAATGATTTAACACTCTAGGATTTATTCCTCGAGGGTACAAGAACCTTCTCTCAGGAATGGGCTTATTCCATCGTATATTTATGTGGTACATTCTCTCTCCTTGTTGGTAGTTGATAGTAAAATTGAAGTTTAAAAAGAAAGTAGACACAAAAACTTAGGATCCAAATGTCCTATTTTTTATTATTTTATTATTATCATTATTAATACTTTTAATATTATTAATACTAATTTTATTATTAAATAAATCTCAATTTCTCTGTACAATAAATATTTCTCATGTGTAAACACAGGCACGTAATATAGTCAAGCATACTAGGTCCGTAGTGTCTGACACGTTGATTAAAAGAGAAGAAGAAAGCATAGGTAGAATGTTTTAAAATTATTAACTCTGAAATCATAAAACTATGGAAAGTCATATTTAGTTTTAGTATTTTAAAATGTTATTTAAAAATGACATTGGTTTTAAAATATTATTATATTTATATTTAAATGGAAACTAGGATTGGCCATCTGTCTATACATTGAGATTTGGACCCAGCACAAGTACTAATGTCTGTAATAACACCCTCTGGTGGTTCCTAATTTAAACACATAGATAAAATATTATGTTCTGTTTTGTACTCTTTCTTTGAAATTCAAAAAACTGTGCACGCCCATGTTTGGAATATTATCATTAACTATTTCTTTCAATTAACCATTTTTGGAGGGATTGGGAAAATATCTAGTTGAGTGATCACATTTTTCTATAGAGGGCATGATAGATTAATTTGCATCTCTGTTTTTAAAGCTCCAGAAAAGTTTGCATTGCCCAAAGTTTCCGTGACAAAACATGAAGATAAAAACCCTCCCACATCAAACAGTGTGGTTAATAAGAGATGATTTGCATAAAGCACACAGCTGGATAAAAAATAAAACATCTACTAAATCATTCAGATGGCTTAGTTATTTGGCTAAGGGGAAGTATTATTAATGTTTTCATTATTACTTCATGAACTACTGCTTCGGCATAGTTCCAGCATAAGCTTTCAAGAAGGTGTGGCCTCCAACAACATGAAAGTAACAAATAGAACCAAAGAGAAAAAGTGGTCACTTCCAATAACAGATTTGTGATCTTGTGCTATGTGAGGATGGATATAGAAGAGTTGGCTTCTGATTGGGAAGATGAGGAAAATACATGGGGCAGGTGCAGTCTGAGCTGGGCCTTTATTGACAAGTATAATTTAGGTATGAGAAAGTGGCACGGGCAGAGAAAGGCATAGCAAAATGAAAACAGAGAGCCCAGCTATAGCTCAGAAGAAAAAAAAAAAAAAAGTCAAACCAAAGGGAGCCAGAGTGATCTAAGTGGGCTTCCGGGAAAAGCATACAAAGGAAAATGATGGGAGATACATTTGGAAAGAAGCAGATGATAAAGGACTTTGAGAAGCCTACTAAAGAATGTGACTAAAATCAAGAGATGTCTTGAAATCACATTAGCTCTAGCCTCTGATATTAGGTCATAAAACCACTTTATTCATTAAAATGTTTCTGATAATATAGGTTTAGGTAAGTGTAACAGAATTGATATGTTTTTATTTGGAGACTCTTTAGAGAGAAGTTAGTAGATATACTCATTGTTCCAAGCATCTGATGAAGAACTATTAAAATACTTGGATTCTTAATACCAGTTGATCAAAACCTCTGCATTTCTGTATGGTTGATTGCATTTTATGCTATGTAGATAGAGCCCAGGATAAAGCAGAGGTTTCTTTAGACTTTAGAATAAGACTTAGACTTATTCCAATATACGTGTATGTTCTCTAAATTTGGTTTTCTTCCTTTTTATATTTCTTGTAAAATATTATTTGTTTGCATTTAAATCTACAGCACCTGTACAGGCTTTCCAAATGAGATTTCTATTCACCTAGATGAGATGAAAAGCTCTTTCCTTAAACTTATTTCTAGCCTTGTTCCTTTCTTCTTCTTTTATTGTTTTACATTCTGTACACATCTCAAATTTCCCAGAAGAGGAATAGAACTAGAAATTGCACCAGGTAAAATCAAAGTTTACAAAGAAAAGATTGAATATTTTGAAATGTAAATGAGACAGCCTTGCTATAATAGCTATTTTGATACATTGTGAGATTGCTCTTGGTTGAAAATTGTTTTAATCTAGTAAAAATAAGTGGATTTAAAAATTAGTGTATACTAATTAAGGTTTGCTTTGGAAATTGTATATAGAGATTTTCCAGTTGGTGAAATTAAAGTGCTTCATTCAATATCATACTAAAAATATTAACAATATCCTTGATTGGCTTATATAATGCCAATCAAAAAATATGGCAGGTTTCCTTTGTTTACAACCAATTGACTAATCTGACTCATCATGTGGTTGATATTCAGTTTAGTTTACTTCATAAAGGTTCATAATTTTATATCATAGTCACATACCCTTTATATTTTTTGTTACCCTTTTGAATAGCCCTTAAGTTCACACTAAATACACCATCTGAGTTTCTTCTACATAAGTTGAAGAAAATATCAAACATAATTATCATTCTGTTTCTTCAAATCTACTTCTATTGGTTACTAGTAATTCATTGGTGACTGGCTATTTAACAATATTCAAGCCTTTTTCTAAATAGCTATTCTCAACTTATAGACACCTGATATATTATTGACAAACATTTCTTCCTTATTTCCTTATTCTGGGAAAGTGGTCATGCTATCACTGAAATAGATATTACAACAATCTGATGGTTTTAGAGAATCTGTTGTCCCCAAATGGAAGGAGTGGGGAATTATGGGAAAACCTTTGCAAGACTTGTTCCTGGTTACCCTGGTGGTGGATTTCCTGTCCTCAAGTGGTTTCCCTCCCACTGTCTGTATTTTTCACTTCATTTGGGTATATTGGTTTGACTAACATCCCCCCCAGGTTAAGAGTCACTGTGTTTGTATACATCTCTTTAATGAAAATGTAGGTATCTTAGAATCATTACGTGAGTATCAACTGGTCATCCAGTAGTTGGAATCTATCCAACTGCTTAAGAAACTCCTGATTGAACAGAGATGTATTTACAGAAGAATGAGACTCCAAGTATTTTTCTACCATAGAATATGTCTAGAATTAGAAAGAGAATCAAGGCAAAGTCATTGTCAGGGGCTAGGTATGCTCAAATACACTAGGGAGCAGTGATTGACAGGAAAACCCTAAAGAAGAGGTTGGAGACGAGACAAATAAAATCACAAGATGAGAAAGAGAGAGTAACTGAGCTCCTGCTTCATTTCACTCCCCATGGTCACAATCTTATGAGTTGAGATATGCATTACTGACCCCATTATTTTCAAATGCAAAAGCTGAGACCTTTTAAATTTACTCCACAATGAGCTAGGATTCCAAATCTTGGCCATATGATCACAGCTCATGCTCTCATATTCTGACTATGTGGCAGAAGACATAATAATTTTTTGAAAACTCGCCTGGACAAGCTCTCTCCACAAAAGGAGAGGGAACACTTGCCTTCTCTTCTGTTTGTTTGTTTTCTTGCATCAAAATTTCCCCCCCAAATCTCTTCTAATCTAGAACTCCACTAACAGTATTAGTACTAAGCTCCTACTGCATTATACAACACAAAATCAGAATGTTTCTGTGGGAATATGGATTTCTTTATCCACAGAATCAAACTTAAGGAATTTTCGAAACAAATCCAAATCCTAAATGAAGGAATGCCGAAGGGAAAACAAAGATCTTCAGATTTACAAACCCGCTAGAGATAGTTGTTAGAGATACAAACAAACAAGCATAGAATTCTTCCATCTCTTCTTGAAATCATCTGTTCTAGTCTGCATCTTCACTTCTCAGGAGAAAAACAGATTATCAGTTGATCTGGAAAATAATTTTCCCTTATCCTGCCACTCTGTATACCCAAGTCTTTCTAAACTCCTTTCTCCATTGAAGTAGCCAACATTCTTATTTGTTTGTCATTATTGTAATACTGTACATAAGCCACAAATAGAAACAACAATAGTAATAGTAATGGTACAGTTACTTACTATTTAACTCAGTATACAAATCTGATGGTTTATCCCTACACATAACTGAGGGGTTTTTTTTCTTTATCTCCAATAAAAATAATCAAGTACTTAGTGTAACCACAGCATGTTATTGGTTAAGGAAAAGAAAATGAAAGGCAGGTTAAGAAGTGTGGAGTTCTTGCTAGAGCTGTTTCATTACCCATGTTAATGAAGAAAACGTATAATTATGCATTTGGAGATCGATGGCAGCTTCACTGATTGACTGTGGTGTCGATTCTTCCCGCACCATGCAGCCAAGCCTACCAATCACCGCCCCGCGGAAAGCTCCGTGTCCACCGGCTCCTCCGGCAGCAGCTTCGGCAGTGGGTACAGTGTGGACAGCGAAGGAAGCGGCAGCGCTGCAGGGGAGGCTAATCTATTTCCTATTCCAAGGATGTAAGTGGGTTTTATTTTTCCTTTCTTTTTTTTTTTTTTCTCACTACAAAGTTAACAGCATCATGAGTAAGCTCTTCTTAACACTTAACAGGAAATAACTAGATAATTATCCGGTTCTGAGTCATTGTCCCTGAAGCACTTCAACTGTTTATGCCTAACATAGAAAATCGACTGTTCAGGAAAGATTGGTTTCATTTAGTTAATTCTAAGGATGAATGCTGGTCACTTCCAGAACTATTTAATAAATACAATCTGTACTTAGTATAATAAACAAGCCAAAGAAAACAAACAAACAAAAAACCCTGCTAAAATAATAACTAAAGTAAGTTCAGCTCTGGTGGTACACTGATGCATTAATCATATAATGACCTAACACAAACTTTTTTGGAATTTGAGATAAACGTAGATTAATTTAGTTTGAATGAGAAGAAATTAAAACATACTTTAAAAGCTTATATATCATTTTTGAAATAGATAACATATTGGGTTCCTTTTATAGACTTTTCAATTATAAATCTCATCACAATGAAAATGGAAGATTTTGAAGTGTTTTCCTATTTTCAAGAACAAATATCAAGTAATACATAGGTCCTCCGCCTCCCAATTCTCTTTTCTAAAACATTCCAGGATATATGTAAGAAGCTGTATTTAGCATTTCTGTTATACACTCCTCTGTGTCTAACACAAGTATTGCTTAGGCTAACGTAAGAATTTAATAACTATTTGTGGGTGCCTGGGTGGCTCAGTCAGTTAACCTTCTGACTCGACATCAGCTCAAGTTATGATTTCACGGTTCGGGAGTTCGAGCCCCACATCAGGCTCTGTGCTGACAGTGTGGAGCCTGGTTGGGACTCTCTCTCTCCTCGCATAAATGATAAACTATAGTCGGCATGTTCTGAGCTGAAGATGATTTCCTGGTAATTCAAAAAGGTGCATCCCTTATATAACCTGTGGTCACATTTTCTTCATATTCCGTTTAGCTTCATAATCTCAAGTTTCTGTATAATCTTAGAAATGCCTCTGATACACATTTGGGCTATGTACCTAACCTTAAAATCAGTTTTCATTAGACACAAAGACTGTAGCTTAATATCACCATTAAAAGTCAAAACCTAGGACTTGAGATCAAATAAAAAATTACCAACTTTATTTTTATTGCTATTGCTAAAAATTTTAATTATTTTGTTAAAATTTGGCATATGTAGGGCAGTAATTTTTCAGCACTCTCAGCTGTCAGTTGAACTCTACTAAAACGATTTTCCCTTCCATTTGAGTTTGACTCAGTAACAAGATGTTTAGGTTCCCTCCTCCAGTCATAGTGACCACTCACGGTAAGATTGCTACTGACTTATGAAGGTTTACTCTCTGTCTGACTGGACTAGAGCAGAGTTAATGATTTTTTTAAACTATCGTCTACTTTTATTGAATCCTGTTGAAGCAATTACAGAAGTTAAAGTTTTGTGCACTGCTTAGTCAAGACTTTTTTAAATATATATTCAGATGCAGACCGTATCTATATGTATACAAGTATATATACGATTTCTAACATTTTTGCATGTACTTGGTCCTTCACACTTGATAAAAAAAATTGTGTTTAAACCTTTGACCTAGAATTGCCATAGTGGAAGAATGTAATGCGTTTCATGATAAAATGGTTTCTGATTTTATGTCTATTTCTCTTTCATGATATACAGAACAATTTCTATAAAATGGTAAGAGGATCTGTAGAGCACTTTTCAAGTAAGATGTAATTGGATTCTTAAGAAGTAAATACAATCACATTTCAGCAGGTTCAACAAACCAAATATTTTTGTGAAAGTAAGAATTAACAGTTAATACTATTAGAATTATTGTCTAAAAAGGTGTTCTTTTTGTTCAAATGCCCATTTTAACACTCAGGCATTTTTCTTTCCTCTTTTTAGAACATCTTACTGGAGTACATATAAAACAATTCCAGAATCTTTTCTATGCCATGTAGCGTTTCTCTGACTGAAGAAATAAGAAGTAGCCTATAGTGCTTTGGCTGTTACGTTATCAATATTCTGAACACACAGTGCTCAAAATATCATGAATTCTTCATTGATTTGGCCTTCCAGAAAATTAGAGGCTGAAACTACAAGAAGGGTAGACTCCAGCTGAATTCTAAAACGGTTATGTGCATACCTGTTAATATTTTCTATTTGTTGAATTCTACGATGTTCTAGGCACTGTGTTAAGGACTTTATATACATTTTCCATGCAATTTTCTCATACCCAAGAGAAATCTAATGTTACTAACGTTATCTTACAAAAGAAATAAGTTCACTAGATTAAGTAGATTTGCCTTAGATGACACATAGCATGAAACAGTGAAGCCAGAAGCAGAGACCAGGAGGTCTGACTTCAAAGCCAGTATGCTACACACAGCTGAAAACATAGGCAGGATCTGAAACTCACTAAATGAAATAAAAACCTGTGTTATTACAATATTATTTGTGTAAGTGATTTAATTCAAAATTTTCCTCTTCACCAAAGGGTCTGTATAAATTATCATAACAAAGTATAAAGATAAAAACACTTCTCACTTCTTAAGTTAAAAATGGGGAAAAAACCAACGCCCCAATTCTAAACAAAATTTGAGAATTTCATGATAGTCAACAAATGAGACACTGAATTTTGAGGTATCATGTTCAGACTAAGTAGGAATAATAACCAGACCCCTATTTTAAAATTAACATGACACAGAGCAATTTCCTGTGTTTATGTTTGCATTCAAGTAATTTGTTTCAGGTCTGAGTATATAGTTTATTCTATTTTTGTCAACTTGGTCTTCTCATTTATACTTAGGAGATCGTAACTAAATATATAACCTTTTATTTTCTTTTTAAACAGAGGGAAGATGGGGCAAAATGGGCAAGAGCCTATAAAGCAGCCAGGAGTAGGAGTGGGATTGGCAGACGCAGAAGGTAACCTCAAATTTTCAATATTGGATGTTGGCAGAATCTACATGTTACACCACAAGCGTGTTATTTGTTTTTCTCTGAATATAAATGTACATTTCTAAGTACTGATGGCAAAAGCACTAGGAGGTACAATATCATTCTCTCTGATATTTCTTAAATTAGAATGATTTTGTGATTTCATTTAATGATTTTCCAGCGTCTTTATGTATATTTAACATTTCAGTAGTTTTGGGTCCTGAATATACAAAAAAGAAAGAAGAGTGAGAAAGATGACCAGAGAGAGACTCCAAAGACTTTCTTAAGAAAAACAAATATCTTGTTGAGTTCTTTTTAAGTTTTTTGTTAAAATACCATGCAAATTAGAAAACAAATCATGAAATTTAACTTAAAATAGAAATTCTTAAATGTATGGAACTCAGAAGAAACTCAGGGTATAAAAATCATTTCAGAGAAAAAGTAATGACTGAACTCACTTCTAAAATGAAAACCTTGGGGCCCCTGGGTGGCTCAGTCAGTTAAGCGCCAACTTTGACTCAGGTCATGATCTCGCGGTTCATGGGTTTGAGCCCCGCGTGGGGCTCTGTGCTGACAGTTCAGAGACTGGAGGAGGCTGCTTCGATTCTGTGGCTCCCTCTCTCTGCCCCTCCCCCACTCACACTCTCTCTCTAAAAAATAAACATTAAAAAAAATTTTAATGAAAACCTCATTTGAAATTAAATTTATTTTTATTAAACAAGTGACAAGTGTACAACAAAATGCAAAAACAACAACAACAACAACAACAACAAACCCTGAACTTCTGCAGACAGAAGTTTTGGTATTCAGATATTCAGTTTTGGTAACATGAACAAGTACTAGCTTATGTTTCATAATATTGTGGTAAGATCTGACAGCTCTGTTCTCCTTCTTTAATTGAACATCCTCTCCGTAATTTAAACTATCTTAATTACTTTATACTATTCCAAGTACTTTTCATGTGTTATCTCATTTCATTCTTAAAATTATCTGTGAAGGTAAATAATACTACACTCAGGCTTTACATAAAAAGAAACTGAGGTGCAAATATCACACAAGAAAAGAGCAAGGGACTTGAACCCGGGAAAATGATGCCAAATCACCTTCCATGAAAAAGAATGATTAATGGCCCAGTGTCACAATGACTGTGGGTGAAGAACTAGGAGACCCATATTCGGATTTCACATCAGGTCCTGTTAGCTAATTGGTGGCCTGATCTGTCTTCAGGAATCTCATCTGTCAAATGCTGCCTGCATTGGATGCCTCAGGTTCCTCGTGAATGAGTGACATCACAGTTTTCTGGTTCTACTCAAAGTTTTTCTTTAAAGTCATTCAAAGATTGCTTTTCTTTTACTGGCTGCCATTTTCCCCAGAATTCCACCCTCAATCTACCAATCATTGTACACATCCTCTGTCTGCATAAACTCATCAGCTCTCATCCAGACGTTGATTAGACTCACATGTGCCCTACAGGCCCACTGGAATTCAGATTCCAGTAGTTCACGTGTGCAGGCCTTTGTGTCCAACCAAGAAAAGGGACACCATGCTGAATATTTATAACAGAGGAAACTGACGCCTGGCAGTTATTACATACCCGTGGTCTTCCTGAGAAACCAAGCAGTTGGTGGTGAGGTAGCAGACCTAGGGAGAGAGCTGAAAGAAGCCCCCTGCAAGCCAGGGGCTAGTGACAGCTGAAATCAGGGCAAGCCCGAATTGCAGGCAGCAGGAGACAAAGAAGAGAAATGGCAAATGCCAGATATATATACGGAGACAGACAAGGATGGGGAGAAATATCCTGGGTACTTTCTTCCTCTCGTTCTCCAGCCTCTGCCAGGGCCTTATCAAATCCAGCTGGAGGCCAGCTGGGCAGGGGAGCCTGGAAACCATCCTAGGGCACAGCTACCCTGACTAGAGAGCAGAGAACGCACCTGAGAAGGCACCTAAGGGCCCAAAGGTGCAGGGCCCGTGTACTCCTTTGCCTAGAGATGCCATAGACGAATCAGGTCTTGCCTCCTTTTCCTCCTATGCTCTACTACCAGTAACAAAGTCTGCCCCAGTTTACAGCGTAATGTGCGTCTTTTGCTGTCATTGTTCTTTAATTTGTATTTATCTATTCTTATGCTCGTCTCCTCCATAAGGTTGAATGGCATTTAGACCAGAGCTATGGTTTAGTCATCCTGGTGTCCCAGCACTTAGCAGAAAGCCTTTGCCCATATGTTGCTTTAAGAATGTTCGTTCATTAGGGGCGCCTGGGTGGCTCAGTCGGTTAAGCGTCCGACTTCAGCTCAGGTTATGATCTCACGGTTTGTGGGTTCGAGCCCCGCATCGGGCTCTGTGCTGACAGCTAGCTCAGAGCCTGGACCCTGCTTCGGATTCTGTGTCTCCCTCTCTCTCTGACCCTCCCCTGCTCATGCTCTCTCTCTCTCTCAAAAATAAATAAAATATTAAAAAAAAGAATGTTGATTCATTAAATGAATAAATAGTATAACCATATGTGAACATAATGCCCACTGATTTTCATATGAGTGTAGTATTCAGGTAAACAGAGAAGCAATTCATGTGTACTTTTTTCAAGTTTAATTACTTAATTTCACTTTAAAATTATCTTAGTATAAATGTTAATAACTGTCAATGATACAAATGGGTTCATCCTAATACTACTTTCTTCTTTCCTATCAGCCCCACAGGAGGGACTCAGTCAGAAGCTACTTTATATTTTACTTAAACTTACGAGTCAATATGTTTATATTTTAGTGAACTGACTAATCAATAACTAAACTCAGATTACTGAGCAGAGGGCAGGAGGTTGAGGAAGGGATAAGACAGAATATATAATGTAATGTGAGTCACTTACAGTCATGTGTCTTTTGGTAACAGTATTTTGAATAAGTTATTTTTTACTGGGTTACTTTCTGAAATGTTGACAATAAGCAAATTTATAATTTACGTATCTATATAAAGTTGGGCATGAATAGTTCTATACGAGACCTAGAAGACGTTGCTAATAATATGAGGAAGAAAACCACAATAAATATTTAACCTGTACAAACAATTTTAAGTTTAAAAGAATACATAGATAGGGGGTTGGGAGAAAGTGATTAAATTATACAGGAATGTAATTATTCTAAGAAGATAAGAGGAAAATACCAATTCAGCATACAAGTTTTTGTTGTGTCCCCATAGAGATATGAAGTCAACTCTATGCTGCCATCCAGGTATATTTTTTAAATGTTTAAATGTTTTTAAAGTTTTTATTTATTACTGGGAGACAGAGAGAGAGCATGAGCATGGGACAGACACAGAATCTGAAGGAAGCTCCAGGCTCTGAGCTGTCAGCCCAGAGCCCAACGCAGGGCCCAGACTCATGAACCGTGAGACCATGACCTAAGCCGAATTCAGACACTTAACCGACTGAGCCACCCAGGCGCCCCCAAGTATATTTATGATATATATTTAGTTTTGAATGGTCCAAAGGGTTACTTTTGCTTCCTTTTGTTGTCAGTCACCATAAACAACAAAGAAACAGTAACCAAAAAGTTCAATTTATTTTTAGACATAATAGTTTCTTGACTGGATTTTTCCCCCTTTTAATTCTAATTCAGGACACCAGAAAAAGTGTCTTTTTGCAGATTAGTAAGAATTTCTTGAGACTTGCAGAGTTCCAGCTCACTTTGGGTTTTCAGATTACTCATACAAGCACTTTGTTTTATGCACACCTTGGTTCACTCCAAGATAAACTGATCTACAAAGATACGCATACTTTAAATCAAAAGTGTATCATAGATTTTAAGTAATCACCCTTGAGCAATTTGTTTTTATAACATTTTTATTCTTGCCTTGGAATTATAGTGTACAGAATGTGAAAAGTAATGTTTTATGGGTTTAAACTACATGTTGAGCATCTTATAGGAAATGTTTTTAATGCTAGTCATGTCCTTGTTTTACTTATTGAATAAATCTATTTATTCTGGGTTCTGATGTTTTTTAAATCTAGTTTTCCACTTAGTCATATTCTTCAGTACTCTTGCACCTTCCCTATAGCAGTGACTCATAAATTTTAATCTCATGGTGAATAATCTCATCTCATACACGGTGGGTCAGAATGGGAGATCAAGCAAAGGTTCTGGGGTTCCAACCCAACTTGTAGTAGAAAATAGTAATACTCTTGTGGACTGTCTCTGCTAATGAATGGTTCAGCTGTCACAACTTAAAAAAATGCACAATGTAAAGTACAAATAAACACTGTGTTTGGCACATGATAAACATCCTTTAAGTTGTAGCCATTATTAAATTAAAGTGAATATAAAAGAGATCCATTTGGATTCCAGCCAAGAGTGGTATTAGTCGAGAGTGACAAAAATATCAGGCACTTTTCAGAAGACCTAGAAAGACCACTTCTCTTAAAGATTTAGTTCAAATCAATTAGACTTCCCATTTATAGTGACCAGTGTTTTCCCAATTTACATCAAAACCCTCTCATACTCTGAACAGATGATCTAGCCCTTCCCTACATGGTTGCCATTAAGTGTTACTTAAGTAATAGTGTTACAGTTGGTTAGTGGGTATCCACATATGTTACATATAGTGACTGGTTTGACTCATTTATTCTCCTAAACCAGGCATTGGCAAGATTTCACAGCAGGCATTAAAATCACACTTTGTATGAGGTTTAATTTGCCTGGCTGCATATTTAAAAAACAAATAATCCCAAAACATCATTTATTTTCTTAAGCATCTTTAGAAGCCTTAATTTAATCACTTGATCTCCATTTTCAAGGTGCCAGAATAAACCCTTACCATTATAGAAATATGCTAGACTCTCCCCACAAATGTTTTCAAATAATTGACTCTGTGAAAGTCCCTCACCAATGACGTTATCCCGAGGAAGCAGGGGCCAGGCGGGTAGAGCATTCAATTCAGTGTCTCACTGGAAGTGGGTTTTTGTTGTTGTTGCTGTTAAAAAAAAAAAAAAAAAAAAAAAAAACCTA